CTGATTCCAGGAAGCCCTGGGCAGAGATACTCTGCCTCAGGCTTCCTGTAGTCAGCCGCTGGTCAGTTTCAGCAGCGGCTGAATCTGGACGCCAGTTCCGACTTACGTACAAATTCAACTTAAGAACAAACCTACAGTCCCTATCTTGTACGTAACCCGGGGACTGCCTGTATTCTTAATTCATTTGACTGAAATTGAAATTTAAAAAATTGTAATTTTATTTTTTAACCCATATCTTCATCTTAAACAGCCATTCCGCTGGTCAGTTTCAGCAGCGGCTGAATCTGGACGCCAGTTCCGACTTACGTACAAATTCAACTTAAGAACAAACCTACAGTCCCTATCTTGTACGTAACCCGGGGACTGCCTGTATTCTTAATTCATTTGACTGAAATTGAAATTTAAAAAATTGTAATTTTATTTTTTAACCCATATCTTCATCTTAAACAGCCATTGCCAAAGTCCAAAAAAACACCCAGCAAAGGCGGCAAAAAAGAACGCAGTAGCACAGGAACTGCACGAAAAGTAAAGCGCACCAAATGTCCTGAGATTTTGTCGGATGAATCTAGTAGTGAGGAGGAGGATGAAAAGAGAGGGAAGGAGGAATCATCTGAAGAAGACAAAGAGAGTGAAGAGGAGGTAAATATAACAACTTCCTTTTCAGCATAAATGAGGGTTTTTTTGCTTCGTTTTTAACTAACTGGTTACCTTACTGGTTTCACTATAGTTCTGGTGTTTTGGGGGAGGTGTTTGTTTTTAAAGGTGGAAAGTAAGCTATAGTTAATTGAAAGGATTGCTTCACATCTGGAGTGCTTGAGACCAACAGTTCATTAGATACTACATACAGGCAGTCCCCGAGTTACGCGGATCCGACTTATGTCGGATCCGCAGTTACGAACGGGGCTTTTCTCGCCCCGGAGGACTGGAGTGGCGGGACGCCCAGATGCGCTGCAGTCCTGCCGCCCCCGTCCTCCGGGGCGAGAAAAGCTGCTCCACGTCTCCCTGGTCTGCCGGGGGGGGGGGCCCCC